CTCCACCACCGCCGCAGCCTCAAGCAGAGCCGAGGCCAAGGCCAAGGCTCCCTGATTGGACTCGCTTCGACGTTCAGCTCAGCCTCCAAAACCTGCGCAGCTTCGACCCAGCTGTAGTGCAGCGAGAACTCCGCAAACTCCACCTGAGATGGTTTCATGCCAAGGAGCCAAAAATGCGGATGATTCTAACCAAGGTTGGTCTGGGTGAAACCCGTTTGAGTCTGATCAAAGGCGTTTGCGACTCGTGTAGAGAATGTCGAGCCTGGGACAAACCAGGCAACACGGTGATGCCTTCCGTGTCACTGCCAGGACGTTTCAACGAAGAAGTCGAATGTGATCTCTTCTTTTATAAACAGGAACATATTGTTTTTCACATCATCGACCGTTGTATTCGCTGGGCAGCTGGCACAGAGATTCCTGATAAAGCTATGCATACTGTTCTCGATGCCTATCATACGACTTGGATGCAGCATGGCCCTGCTAAAATTCTATACTCCGATGGGGAAGGAGCACTGAATAATGATACAGCAAAGGCCATCCTTAAGGCTAAGGGAACAGAGCTTCGTATTCGAGCGCGTGGCCAACACGCTACAACTATCGAAGCTAGGAACGGCATCCTTCGACACCTCCTACACGTGATGGGAGAAGAATTGAATAGATTACATATCCCTCTCAATTTCACTCGTCTCTTACATGAAGCCTTGTTTGCCAGCAACGCATTTACCTTCTACAATGAAGTGTCTCCGTACAATGCGCTGTATGGCAGACAACCAGCTATGCTTCCCGATTTCCCTGTCTTGGATCATGATCAGTCCGCTGAATCATCAGATCACTCAAGGGAGGAAACAATCAGGAGGGTTAGTCTGGAGGCAATCACGCAGGCCACTGCGGTTGCCAAGACGAACAGGGCTCTCCGTACAAAGACTACTGCTACGGGTGAATTTCACTATAAAGAGGGAGATCTCGTGGACTATCATCGCCCGACCACCACGAAAGACGACTGGGGTGGATGGAGTGGTCCATACCCGGTCATCCGCAACGAACCTGACCGAGGCCAGGTCATCGTGAAGGTCGGCAATCGCGAAGTACGAGTACAGTATCCTGACACACGACACACACTGTACATCGAAGCACTTATGGTCCGCGAGATAGGATCGGACAATACGGCCCTTCGAACAGTATTGGCCTTTATTGCCGGTCTGCCAGCGGGGAAACCCGCCATGACTTTCGGATATCTACCAACGAAACAGGGTCGGCTGCAGATGACTGCTGCGAGCCGACTTTCACCTAAGGTGCACTTGGCTCTTCAGTACCTCATACGCAACTACTTTCGTATTGAAAACGTTGTTGCTGTACGACTCGCCAAGAGCTTGACGAAGCTGCCTGCCGCACCCTATGCAGACAGCTGTACACTAGTGCACTATGATAACGATGTGACCCCTGGGTTTCATTACTATGAAGCTGATGGCACTGCCTTGAACATCTATGACATCACAGGATCTACACACTCACGCATCATCCAGTGTCTTAAATCCAGGAAGCCGTCTGCTGGGTTTGACCAAGATCTCACTAAGTTTGAGGAACTCGCTGATGGTCCACCACCAAGCGAATCACCTCCAGCAGCTGCTCCTGAGGAGCCTCCTACGGACAACGATGGTCGGCTCCCGACCATCATAGAGGAGACAGAAGAAGATCTGGATGCTTTTGTCTTGAAGTCGTGGTATGCTGAACTGATGGATGACAGAACACTCCTTGAAGCTGACACAGAGGAAGTCATGCATACAGTTCCTACATACATGACAGACACACAGTGTGTATTAGTCTCTACGACCTGTGAAGATGTGCAAGGCCACTTGCCGGAGCGGGGTCACCCGCCAGGATACGACATGGACACTTCTTACTACGTTCCTTTATGCTCCACGGAACCGGATAGCAAATATGATCTGGACTCCGATGAGCACGGGAAGTATATCGAGCTCTGCTTCACAGCAGACATGTCCAAAGTCGTCCTGTCCGAGCAGCAACACAGACTGTTGGATGACAGCAGCGTCACAACTATGCGAGTATACGTTAGCGCTGCCTCCAAACGTGCCGTGGTCGTCAAGGAAGACGATCTACTCACGAAGGCCGACATCCAAGCAAATCCGGTCAAAGTTTCCAAAGCCCTCTACACAGAATTGAAGACTTGGCTTGACAACAAATGCTTCCAGATGACTGACTTAAGCAAGGCGTCTAACATCATGACGTCACGCTACGTATACAAATGGAAGTTTGTCAAGAACGAAAAGGGCGAAATGGAAAGGACGATCCGGTTACGCTTGGTACTCCGTGGCTTCATGGACCTCGAAGCCTTTGATGTCGAAACCTTCTCTGGCACGGCAAGGAGGTCAAGCCAGAGACTGCTCGCAAGTTCTGCTGCATGCAACAAAGCTTGGATCATCGCTTCCCTGGACATCAACATGGCTTTCTTGAAGGGACTGACCTATGGCGAGCTCGCCGCGGCAACGGGCGAGAAAGAGCGTGTGGTGTGCTTCACACTACCACCTGGGTCAGCAGCTGTCCTTCGCACACTGCCAGGCTTTGAGTCATATGACGAATCAAAGCATTGTCTCCGGTGTCTGAAACCGGGGACAGGCACGAAGGATGCTCCCAGGGCATTCTCGCTGAAGCTCAGGTCCATCACTAGGAGCTTTGGGCTACAGCCTACTTCATACGACGAAGAATTCGAGATGAGCCCAAACCTCTTGACAGCCAAGCACGTTGATGACATCAATATGACTGGGAAGGAAGAGGCTATCGACAAGTATGTCAAGTGTGTTGAAGATACGTTTGGGAAGTGCAAACTGAACAAGCACACATACACGAACTGTGCTGTTCGGTACAACAAGACCGATGATGGGAGCGTCACTCTCGACCAGGACGAATACATCAAACAGCTTCGTCCTATCACACATCCAGAACTCACAGGAGCTGATCCTGAAAGCAAGGCGACGAAGACAATTTCTGATATGTTCGTCAGTCTTCGTGGCGCTCTAGCCTATGCGTTGATCACGCAGGTATGGCTAATGGTCTATGTTGTCTCACTACAACGTATCCAAGAACCGACAAACATCCAGGTACGACGACTAAACGCGGTTACCAGAAAATTGCAGGCAGGCCCGAAGAAGATCGTGTATCATGCTATGACTCCAACAGGAGAAGTCGACCTGCATAGCGATTCTGGCTATCGTCGTCTCAACGGAGATGAAGACGACGAAGTCAAAGGCTATGGTATCCGCGGGGCTAACCTGCTGAGGCGTGGCCACACGCAAGCGGGGAAACCCGTCGTGCACCTGGTGGACGCATACTGCAAGTCTCATCGACTGCAAGTGCGTTCGAGCTACTCTGCGGAAACACTGGCAGCAGCCCACAACTTGGAAGACTGCTACCCGACCATTGTAACGCTCCACGAGCTACACTCGGGACCATTGACCCCCACACAGTTGAAGAACATATTGGAAATGGGTGGTCTATGTATCAAAGTCACTCTGACTATTGATGCCGAGTCTGTCTTCAAATCTTTGTCTAGCAAGGATCTGAAGAAGCCCACAGAGTGTACTCTGCTTGGGCACATCAGCTGGATTCGCCAGATGATGGAACGTGGAATCGTGGAAAGCGTCCAATGGTGTGACACGCGGGATATGACTGCCGATGGTCATACCAAAGGTAGCATTGACCGCGCGTTGCTCCTACAAGTAATGGCCGGCCAGCAATCCTTCAAGCACGAGCTGAAGAAACATACGCCGTATAGGGCGGGCAGGTCGTCTCAGGACGGCCCTGCCTCCCGAGCCAGCGGGGAAACCCGCGGGCAGGTGCGCTTTAGTAGCGAGGAAACTCGCCGGTAGCGAGGCTACTCGCGCGCCCTTTCCTTGTAGGCAGCCGCTGCTGCTTAGCACTGTTTTTTCCGCATAATAGAAGTGCGGTACCTGCTCGTCTCCTCCCCCTCCGACTTTAAACGGAGAAGGTTAAAGGCGAGGTATAAATCGAGCATGTACCGCTGCCGTGCCTGGCTCAAGCCGGGCCCGGCCAATATGTGACTGTGCCTCACTGAGGCGCACTACTTGCATCTGAGATCGGAAAACATCCTTTTCCATTGACGATGCCCATCCTACTCTTTACTCCAGATCCCATGCTTCGTCTCGCTCTCTTGCTCATGCGCTATGAGCCTAAGCCTGGGATATGGAAGCGCCTAAGGCGGACTGTATACCTAAGCTTACCAGCTTGTTTTCGACTACCTAACCCTACCTCCAGTGGGGGCGGCGCGAGGGCTCGAAGACACTCGCAGGTCGCGCCTCGCGGGGCGCAATTCGAAGAAGAACAAAAAGCCATACAGCCGGCCCTGATTTGTACAGGACATTTTTTTTAATGCATGTGATTTTTTATGTATTAAAAAAGCATAGTGTGTGTAATATATTCTTATGTCTGAATCAATGTATGCATGAACTCACCGTTTAAACCAAATCCCTGCATTTTTAATACATGATCCGCACGCGGAGCATGTATTCAAACCGGCACTGTAGGTCGACCCTCCCAAATCAAGAGTACAGTTGTGTCCTGCATCTCGCGACCCATGCCTCCTACATTCCTGTGGCAACGTGGCCCTTGGCAGGGTCTTGTGTCCTCTCGCGCGTCCTGTTCAATCAAGTCCGACTGTACACACACACACACAGTAGGCGCTCCGCGCGGAGTTCGTGGATCGGCTCCTCGGGCCCCCCGGCGGCGCCTCCAGCGCCGCCTCTCGGCGCGCTCCGCCCGCGCGGGAGAGGGGTCCAGCGCCAGGATCGGAGGGCTGCTTGTCTCCAAGGCGTCGGAGGTCTGGGTCTCGCCAGAGGATAGAAGAAGAAAAACGGCACAATTAAACATTAACGTTTGGCGCTCCGCGCGGATTTCGTGGGATCCGCGCCGGACTCCCCTCCCTGGCGCGCGGAGCGCGCCGGGGGCGGCGCCAGAGGCGCCGCGGAGGGGGGGTCCAGCGCAGGTCCAAGAAATCCGCGCGGGGCGCCAAACGCTCGTGTTCATGCCGTGTTTCGTCTCCTAGCGATGCGCGAAGTTGGGTGACCTTGGAGGTCTGGGAGCATGAGGCTGTGCGCGGTTGCCCTCGCCCTGGCCGGGGCGCTGCCCACCCGTGCGCTGAGGGCTCAGAATGGCACCCTTGGCGGCGGCCCAGAGCAAGGCCAGCGCGAGGCGTCGGGTGCGGGGCGTCATCCAAATAGAGGCCTCCTAGGGATGGGGTCGGAGGGTCGCCCCGCATTGCCGATACATCGGCGATGCATCGACGATGCACCAGCGATGCATCGTCGACGTCGGCGATGCATCGGCGACGTCGACGTGAAGCAAATCGGGCTCCACATCGAGCCACATCGGCGATGCATCGGCCATGCGGCGCGATCCTTCGACCACAGCTGCTCCGACCCCAACTGAGAGGCCTAGATCAAAGCGGCGACCTGACCAGACCGTCGGGTGAGTCGGGGGAGGACTCGGTGTGACCGCACGGTGTTGGGACGTGGGCTCATCGACGGCATCTCGTGCGATTGGGGCATCCGAAGTCCCAAACTGGGCAGTGACGGACCGTGCGGTGAGGTGTTTGGTTGGCTCAAGGCCACCGCACGGTTTGCCACCGCACTTTCCTGACCTTCCAGAGTGCCAGGAAGACAGCGTCCGAATAATCTACGCCCGCGGCGCGTCCAACGCCCTCGCGGTGCAGCGGGGGCATATTTTCGGCGATTCGAGCGGTATTCGGGCATTCGAGTGTTTATCGCATTCTGGTGCAGGCCCCGTGCCTGAATGTCTCAGTCGTATCTAAAAGGTCGATCCCTGTCAAACGGAAAGTTTCTGAATCGTGTCTAAAAGTGTTTCGAAGACGCCTATTGCGAATCACCGCCGCCCCCTGCTTTGAGGATATGCCTATGTGGCCAAACGTTTGGGCAAAGTTTGGCCACGCTATAGGAGCTTATTGGGTCATTGATGGGGCATCCTGGGAGCTTCCTGGAGGCCTCTTGGAGGCATCATGGGAGCCTCCTTGGGCCTCTTGAGGGCCTTCGGGAGCTTCTTGGTGGCCTCGTTAGCCGTCTTCCAGCGTCCCTGACTCGTCAGACGCCGTCGGACGCCGTCTTGGGAGCCCCTCTCAAGGGGCGATTCAGGGTCGCCTTGGAGGCCGTCTTCAACGTCTTGAAGGCCTCTGTGGCCGTCTTGGGGCCCTGATGGGGCCGTCAAGGGAGCCTCTTGGGCTATCTCGGGGGCCTCTGAGCGATCTTGGGGCAATCTCGGTAGCCTCTTGGGCCGTCGGAAGGCAGCTTGAAGCAGATGCCCAAGTCCTGTAACCACCTGCGGCAGATCTATGATGTTGGCCTCTTCGGGCCTTCCTGGAGGACGTCGTGGAGGCCTCTTGGGACGCCGTAACGGGGCCTCTTCGGGCGTTTTGGGGCCCTCTTGGGCTCCCTTGGAGCATCTAGGCAGTCTTGGAGGCATCTTCGAACCGTCGTTCGGCCATCTTGGCCGTCTTGGAGGCATCTTGGAGGCCATGTTGACCGTCTTGGAGGCCACCAAGGCAGTCTTGGAGAGATTTGTTGGGAATCGACCGGCTCTTCGGGTGGCTGGCGGGTTGGGCCGAGATCCCTCTGGGAGTTCTTTCAAGCAGAACTTGAGTCCACTCAGACGTCCAGCACGCCAGGCACCCATGTGATAAATCAAGAGGGGGAGGCGGATATCGAAGACGCCAATGTTGAATCACCGCCGCTCCCAGCCTTCTAGGATACGCCCATGTGGCCAAACGTTTGGGCAACGTTTGGCCACGCTATTGGACCATGCGTTCCCCCAGTTGTTGTGGAAGCCCTTCGGAGAACACGTCTGGGAGTAAGAGGAGGATGAGGAGCGGGAGGAACAAGGAGGAAGAGGAGAAGGATGAGACGACCTCCTGAGAGCGTCTGGGGTCATTATTGGGGCCTTGTGGGGGCTTCCTGGGAGCCTCTTGGAGACCTCGTGCTTGCCTCCTTGGGCCTCTTGAGGGCCTTCGGGAGCTTCTTGGGGGCCTCGTTGGCAGTCTTACGGCGTTCCTGGCTCGTCAGACGCCGTCGGAAGCCGTCTTGGGAGCCTCTCTGTGGTCTTCTCGGGGCGCTTCAGGGCCTTCTTGAAGGCCATCTTGGGCGTCTTGAAGGCCTCTGTGGCCGTCTTGGGGCCCTGATGGGGCCGTCAAGGGAGCCTCTTGGGCCATCTCGGGGGCCTCTGAGCGATCTTGGGGCAATCTCGGTAGCCTCTTGGGCCGTCGGAAGGCAGCTTGAAGCAGATGCCCAAGTCCTGTAACCACCTGCGGCAGATCTATGATGTTGGCCTCTTCGGGCCTTCCTGGAGGACGTCGTGGAGGCCTCTTGGGACACCGTAACGGGGCCTCTTCGGGCGATTTTGAGCCCTCTTGGGCTCCCTTGGAGCATCTAGGCAGTCTTGGAGGCATCTTGGGACCGCCTTGGGGCCATCTTGGCCGTCTTGGGGGGGCGTGTTGGGGGGCCGTCTGGGAGCTTGCCGGGCCGTCCAGGGGCCATCCTGGAGGCTTCTTGGGCCGACCTCGGCGGTCGGAAGACCGTTTTGAAGCAAATGCCACACTCCTTCAACCACTTGAAGATTACCCGTCGGTCGCTGAAAGTATGTATGTTTGGACTCCCAGATCCCAATCTACTTTAAGCGCCTTCCTACTTCAATGGTCGAGTGGCTTAACCTTTTCCATTCTTTTTAGGGGGCGGGCGGACACCCAATCTACCTTTAACGCCTTCCTACTTAATGTTTCTACCTACTTCTTCCGACCGATGGGTAATGATGTTTGCCTCGTCGGTTCTTCCTTGGGGACCTCGTGGATGCCCCCTGGGCCTTCTTACACTTAGGTGCATATGTTGCTGATGAGGTGTTTGACGGACTGTGGGAGGGTTCGTGGCTGGGGCGCGGGGCGCCCTATTTGCTTTCTTAGCGACAGCCCGCCCGACTTGTCGGCATAACTTGCTGGAGCAGCTATCTTCAGTCAAAAGTGGGTATTGGAACCCACGCCGTGGGTTGCTGAAACTAGTGTCCCTCGTAAAGATCGCGTGCTGTAGCACACCCTTCTTGACGACATAATGCTTGAAGCACTCTCCCTCGTGAAACTTGGCGTTCGAGTCACACCCCGCTTAGGGTTTTTAACCTATAAATGGGGTGAGAGGGGTGCAGGGCCGGGGGGTGGGTGTCCTAGCACTGTCGTCACGCCTTGCCCTCAAGCGGGGGCAGTCCGCGTGCGGGTGAGCGCGCGCGTGCGCGCGCGTGCGTGAGCGTGCGCGTGTGCGCGAGCGTGAGCGCGTGCGCGGTCGTGCGCGTTCTTTTGCGTGTGCGCGCATTCGTCTCGTTCGAGAGCGCGTGCAAGCTCGGGCGCGAGCCCGAGCCCGAGCCCGTGTGCGAGCCCGAGCCCGGGCCCGAGCCCCGTCCTGAGCGCGTGCGCGCGCGTGTGCGCGTACGCGCGCTTGCGTGTGCGTGCGCACGCGCTTCCGATGTGTTGACATGCGCTCGAAAAAATCACTACCACAAATATTCACTTGGCTGGAGGGGCCTCTTGGGCGCTTCTTGAGCCGTCCTGGGGTCTCTTGGACCATCTAGGTGGTCTTGGAGGCATCTTGGGACAGTCTTTGAGGAGGCCATGTTAGGGGCTATCTCGGGCTCCCTTGGGACCATCTTGCCCGTCTTAGAAGCATCTTGGAGGCCATCTTAAGCCATAGTCTGTGAGGCGATCGGGCAACGGGGGGCCTTTGCGGGGCGGCCTTTCGGGTGGCCAGCGGGCTGGGCCGAAGCCCCACAGGGAGCTCGTTTGAAAAGAACCAAATCCTGCGAAACGTTCGGCTCGCCATGCACCCCTATTAGCAAGACCACAAGGGGTCGGCAGCTGGCCTTCGTCCCATCCCGCCACCGTGCCTGGGTTGTGGGTCTGAGGCCTCTTGGATGGTCGTTGGGATCTCTTCGATGCCTCTCGGGGGGCCTTTTTTCAAGCCCCTTGGGGCCTCTTTTGGTCTCTTGGGGGCCTCTTCGGGGCCTCTGGCGGAAGGCTTGGATTTTTGTGTTCGTGCTCCCCCTCTTGGGGCCTTTTTTGGCCGTCTTGGGGGTCTCTTGGGCTGTCTATGGGCCCTTTCTGAGCCGTCTTGGAGCCCTCTTGGGGGCCTCTGTGGCCGTCGTGGAGCGTCGGATGCTAGAAAAGTGGAAAACCCACAAAGCATTGAAAAACCTAATGGCAATCAATGATTTTGGCCTCCGGAGCCCTCATGGGAAGGCTCTCTGAGCTCTCTGGGGCCTTTGGGCGTCTCGAAGGCTTCTTGGACCGTCGCAAGGCCATCTTGGGCGTCTTGGAAAGCTCCTGGACAGTCTCGAAGGCCTCTCGGACCCTGCTGGTGGTTTCTTGGGGCCGTCTTCGCCCAGTCTGTGGCCCTGTTGGGCGGGGTCGCCGCCACAGAGGCCCATGCGACACACCCTGGCAGCGTCAAACCCTTTTTGCCTTCCAGGGTTGCACGAGCCTTGGGGCACTTCACTACGTGCTGAAGGCATGGTGGCGGATGTGTGTAAACAAGCAGGTTACTTTGTTAGAATCGTGCCTACACGCAATGTACAATCGTGCACACACGGTGTAGGAAAGGTGTTTGATCCGTTTCGCATTGCTAATCATGTGCATGTGCGGCGGTGGCGGCGGTGTTGACGCGCGTCGGGCGCGCGCTTGCGTGTGTGTGTGTGTATGTGTGTGTGTGTGTGTGTGTGTGTGTGTGTGTGTCCGTGTGCGTGTGTATGTGTGTGGGGGGGGGGCGTACCTGCGTGCGTGCGTGCGTGCGTGCGTGCGTGCGTGCGTGCGCGTGTGTGTGTGTGTGTGTGTGTGTGTGTGTGTGTGTGTGTGTGTGTGTGTGTGTGTGTGTGTGTGTGTGTGTGTGCGTGCGTGCGTGCGTGCGTGCGTGCGTGCGTGTGTGTGTGTGTGTGTTTGTATGCGCGCGCGGTTTACTCCGCCTCGACGCTGAGCGCGAGGCCGAGACCGCTCAATGTGTGTGTGTGCATGTACGTGTGCGTGTTCGTGGCCGTCTTAGTCTTGCTTCGTGTTTCTGTTGGCACATCGCCGTTCGACAGAACACGCGCGTCGATATCGAGGAGGAGAACCGAGGATCGAGGGCGATTAGGGAGGAGGGGGAAGATGAGGAGCAGGAGGAGGATGAGGAGGATTGAGGAAAACGGGGATGGGGATCGAGGATCGAGACCCGAGGAGGAGGAGGAGGAGGAGGAGGAGGAGGAAGAAGATTGAGGACTATTATCGATCATGATGCCGTCCTGCCTTGTCGGTTCCTTCACCTGTGCGCCCTTCTCCGCATTCTGCACCATCCTACTCGTCCTCCGCCGCCGTTACCCATACATGTTCGCTCCCATGTTCTAGGTCCGTGCCGTCTTCTCTCATTTCCCGTCTACCGCTTTATCGCTCCAAGGTTTCCATGCTCCCTTGGGTCATCACCGCCTCCAATGCTATTTCGTGTCCGCCCTCGTCATCAGTGCGTGCGCGGTCGACAGATGGAAGCAACACGTCCAGTCTGCACCGGAAGAGTCATCATGCCTCTCATTGCAGTCGCCATGCTGCGCCGTGTCTAATGACGTGTCTAAAGTATGCGGGTAATTTTTCAGTATCGGGATATGGCCACATAGTACTTCAATCGTATAGAATTCATACCCGTGTGTAAACTTAGAGTCTGGATACGTGAGAACGTGTCAACATCCTGTACAAATAGTGCATGTCCGTGATACACTGTGGTAACCATGTGAACGTTCATATTGGTTTTTGCAAATTGCTGCTAGCGACGCACGGAACACATTGTAACTTGCATCAGATCGTGGCTGAAATTGAGACGTGGGCGTCTATACTTTAGACGTGAAGAAGGTGTAGGATCTACCGCGGAGGAGCGCGAGAATTTAGACATTCTCTATTATCTTCCTCGGATTGCACTCCAAACTCAGAGACCTTTCAGGCATGTTAAAACCTCGGCTCTGATTTAGACGCCGAGGTCCAGGTGCTAGTTTTCAGCCCTCCTGGAAGATCAGGATTTGGGGCCCCCACGAGGCGTCGGAGGCCAGCTGGTTCAAGAAGATATACTTCCTCCACCTGGCGAAGACGGCGGGGGGCTCGGCCCTGCTCGACCTGCCGCGACACCTGTCCATCTTGGCGGCGCGCAGAGCCAAAGGAGAAGACGCTGCGCACACGTAAACTGTCCGCGGCCCGCGCGGGTGTACGTAGTGTTGTGGAAGTTGATTAAAGGAGAGGAAGCATGATGCCAAATAATTCCAGATGTCTGAAAGATCTTTCACATATGTTTTTAAATACTAAAAATCATGCTTGAAACATGTTTAGAACATGTTTTACACATTTTAAACACGTATTTAATTCAATGATAGGATTGCTCGAGTGTCCATCGTCATGGCATCCACAAACGTAGTGGATCAGGCCCCGGAAGGCCAGGACATTGGCAAGTCGGGGAAACAGCAGCCTCTCCCGCAAAGTCAGGCTTGGCCATCCGGGGCGCTTTTGTTCTGCTGCGCTTCGAATGTCGGGTCCTTGTCTGGGTCTGGGGGGAGGTGAAGGGTTTCGAGTCCTTTGTCCAGACTTAGTTATCCCAGGAGTATTGCAGTGCATGTCTGTTTCGCACCACCGTCTGGAGAAACAACAGTTTCGAGCGATGTTGGATGTCCTGGGCTAGCGTCCCTTGGCGGCGTATCCGGCGCACTACCTGGCGCGCCCCGCGCGCCAGGGAGGGGGGTCCAGCGCCGCTCCAAGAACTTCGCGCGGACTCTCGGAAGTCCTTTTTTACGCAGGCTGTCCTTCTAAGGGGGGCGCAGTGCGAGAGCGCAGGAATTCTTCACCCAAATCATCCGCGACTGGAAATTTTCGGTAGCGGATTTCGGTCGCGCTGAATTTCGCAACCGGACGGGGTCGAATTTCGGTACAGTGGAGAGCCGTGCCAAGAAACACCCTGCTTGCCTCCAGGGTGCCTTGGGTTTCTTGGGTTTTGATGGTCTTGCGATGGAAAGCGTGACGTACCCACACCAAAAATCAATGGACGTCCTGGGGTCTCAGGGTTGGGTTTCTTGTGGGAAGTTTCTTGTGGTCTGACCTCCACTTTAACGAAGAAGCGGCGCGTCAGGATCCAAGCGAGGGTTTCGAAGACATCGACGGCTCACTCGGTATTGGACTCCCCGACCAGAGAGCGACCAGAGGCCAGATTTCGATTGTGACCTGTTTGTTCATGTTGCCAGAAATTGTCGGTAACGGATGATTTGGGCACGGCTTTGCTGGAGCCCGTCCCTTCCAACAGGCCACCTCAGCAGCGACCGTAGGTGGACAGCACAACCCCCCACCCCCTCAGCCAGGACCCCCACTCCCGACCTGGTGATCCATGTGGTCATGGATGGAGGTGAGGCTGGTTTTTCGGCCCCTCAGGATCTCAAAGAACCACCCCCCACCCCTTACAGTGCCGTTTTTAATGCATGCTCCGCGTGCGGATCATGTATTAAAGATGCAGGGAGATAGTATTGACAGCAACGATGAGTTATGCATACATGCATTCATACATTAGTCATGTATTAAAATCCGATGTTTTTGTTTCAAATCCTATGTATTAGAAACTGCCCTGTTGTAGTCAGGACCCCCTGGATCACCAGGAACCTCTGGGCCACCAGCCAGCACCCCCAGGCCAGCAGGGCGCCTGCACCGATCCCGGGGGCCCAGGAGGGGCCCCTGGCAGGGATCGGTGCACAGCGGAGACCCATGCCAAGCAGCACCCTGCCTGCCTAGATGTGCCCCGGGTGTCTTGGGCATCGATGGCTTTGCGATGGGCAGCGTGAAGTCCCCACGCCAAAAAATCGGTAGACGTCCCGGTGTCTCAGGGTTGGGTCTCTTTTGGAAGGTCTCCTGTGGTCGGGCCCCTACACTGCCCTCGGTGAGCTGCCTGCCTCAAGGCTGGCCTCTTCGAGGGGACCGGCTTCCTCAGAGCCGAGGGCACCCACACCTCCTGGGACCGAGGGAGGAAAAGTGGCATATCACTATAATTTTCCAGAGTTCCGTGCGGATTTCTTGTATCGGCGCTGGGCGCCCCTGTTGGCCACGCTGGCGCCGCTCCTGGAGCGCGCGCGCATTCTGCGCGCCAGGGAGGAGGTCCATGCCGAGCCAAGAAATCAGCGCAGAGTTCCGAGAAATTCTGTTTATGCAGTTGTTCGCTTCCCTACTGCTTGGAGCTGGGAGGCAGGGGGCATGGGCGTCCCGCGGACGTCCGACTTTTGCAGCGGCGTGGAGCCCCGGACCTCCCCTGACATCCTCCCGCTGGGAAAACATAGCGGCGGAACATGTTTCAATAACCACCATGTTGTGTTTGGTCTTCGTTTTTGAAGAGACAGCGCCCTGCATTTTCCCTCCTCTCCTCCCTGTCCTCTCCTCTCATCCTCATCTCATGCCTCTGCTCTCCACATGCCTCTGCTTGGGCACGTCCCTCACACGCTCCTTTGCCCCACAAGGAGTGTCACCGAAATCCCAGTGGCAGGGTCCGCATGCGTCCCCCAGCTCATTTCGGCATACATCTCACACGTTTTGTGGCGCCACATGGAGTTCCACCAAAGGACCCCCGACGGCTCTTGTGGCAGGGTTCATTTGCATTACTGCGCACATCTTGGCGAACACCTCACACGTTTCGTGGCTCCACAGGGAGTTCCACCAAATGCGGTCGGGTCTTTTAACAGGCTAAGCTAATGCTTGGCGCTTCGCGTTATCCCCACCAGCGCGCGCAGAAACGATCGCCGGGGGAGTTGCCTTAATGAGAGAAGTGCAGAAACACGTAGTGGAACAGCCGCTATGGAAGAGTTTCGGGAACGCAGATCACAGCACGAGGAGGCGGCCTCTGCTGATGTATTGTTGCGAGAGGTTTTGGGAGGACTCGCGGAGCCATCTTGGGGCCCTCTTGGAGTCCCCGTGGGGCCTCTCGACACTCCTTGGGCCCTCTTGAGGCTCTTTCAGGGGGTCTGGGGGCCCTCTGGGGACGGTCTGGGTCCGCATAGCCAACAACAAGTGTCCTCATGTTGTAGAGTCCCCCCCCCCCCTGGAAGGCCCACACTCATCAGATTGTTGCTTCCTGTCTTGGGCAATCTTGAACGCTCGAACCCCTCGGGACACCCCCGTCCAAACCCAGGGGAAGGGGTATGGGGGAGGGGCAAGACACTTCTTGCCCACAAGGCGCAAGCCGTCTCGCTCACTCCACCCGCCCTCCCAACACGTAATTAGCACCAGAACGCCCTTGTCAAAAACCACTGCGAAGTGGTCGCAGGGCGCCCACGCATGCTCCAGAGTTGGAGGCACAGTGCATGTTTCATTGCAATTCGATAGGGATGGTTGGCCTGCGCACAGCCCCCCCAGTCCCTTTCAATAGCACATGCAAAATGGTCGCGGGGTGCAGGCAACATGTATGTTGTACGTTTTTGTTGACAGGGATGGTTGGCCTGCGCGCAGCAAGCAATATAAGGGTACCTCCGCCGTCCCTGTCAACAACCAGTGCAAAGTGGTCGCGGGGCGCCCGCGCATGCTCCAGATCCGGATGCAAAGTGTATCGAATGGCCTTAGGCCCATCCCGCCACCGCGCTTGGGTTGTGGGTAATGAAGCCTATTGGATGTCCGTTGGGATCTTGTGGGAGGTTTCTCGGGGGCCCCATGGAGGCAGTTTTGATACCTCTTGGGGGCCGTTTGGAGGCCTCTTGGGGCCTCTTCTGGGTCTCCTGGGGGCCTGGGCTCCTCTTGAGGCCTCCTGGGGGCCTGCCTCCTTGGGAGCGGAAAGCTTAGATTTTCACTTCGAGCTCCCTCCCTTGTGCCCCTTTTGGGGCCGTCTTGGTGCCCTCTTGGTCAATCTTGGGCGCCTCTTGGGCCGTCTTGGGCGCTATTGGGCCGTCTTGCGGCCCTCTTGGAGGCCTCTTGGGCCGTCTTGGGATGATGGTCTTGAGGGCCTCTTGGCTCTTTGGCCGTCTTGGAGCGTCGGGGAGCGTTGGGGAGCCGAAAATGCAAGAAAGCGAAAATCATCCGAAAACCTTGGGGAAATCCATGATGTTGGCCTCTTGGGAGGCCTTGGAGGCTTTTTCGGGGTGTCTTGGAGACCTCTTGGGCCGACTTGGGCCCATCTTGGGCGTCTGCCTCTCGGGGCCCTCGCAGCCCGTCTTGGGACCCTCGTGGGCCCGACAAAGTCACGCGAGACGACACCCGGAAGCCCAATCGGGCGGATTTGCCGATGTCGGTTCGGAGCCCTTACAGACTCATCAGGAGTGAGGGCTGAGGCTCAGGGGATTGGGCGAGAAGAGCCCGAGGGCACGCCCACTCCGTGCCCAGCGGCACGATGGTGGGTGTTGTAGTTCTTGTTGCCAGGGATGTTTAGCTCAGCCTGCGCGCAGCAAGCAGTATGAGGGCACCGCCGCCGTCCGGGGCACCCGCATGCTCCAGATGTGAAAGCACCATGTGTTTCGTAGTGTTTTTTTTCCCACAGGGTTCTGCCAGGGTGTTGTCGTGGGTCCGGGTTGGCTGTCAGTCGGATGGGGGAAGGTGCGTGTGTGTTTATAGGGAAAAGTGATCAAGCCACCCCAAGCCGCAAGCCGTGTCGCTCACTCCCACCTGCCCTCCCAATAATTACACGGGCAGCATCCGAGCTTGGGGCCCCGCTCCCACTGAGTTCATGAACACGTCGGAAGCGCAGTACCGAGCATTCATTGAGAAGGGTGGAGCCCGAAGCACCAGGAATGATTCACACATCTTTATTCCTTGAAGCCACTTGCCGAGACAGAGTGCGGAGCAAGTTCTGTTGTTCTTTTTCTGTTGAATGTTACGTTTCAGGTTGTTGGTTGGGGGATCCGAGAATGGAGGCCTCAGTTGGTCGAAGAATGCGGGCACCGCCGCCGTCCCTGTCAAAAACCGATGCAAAGTGGTTGCGGGGCGCCGCAGGGTGTTTTTGCCGCAGAGAGTGTTTTTGCCGTATGTTTGCCGCAGATTTGTTTGTTGCATTGCGTTTTGACAGTGTTGGTTTGGCCTGCACAGAGCGGCAAATTGAGGTCATCCCCGCCTTTTCTGTAGGAACACATGGAAAGTGTTCAGGGGGCGCCCGCGCACGGTTCAGATTTTGCCAGGATGTACATTTTGAATTGTCATTTGACAGGGATAGCGCAGGGCGGGGCGCAAGGTCATGGGTGTGTCGCCAGTAGGGTAGGGGAGGGGAGGGGACGCCACATCCACAAGGAATTGTGATCAAGACACTTTTCCCAGACGCAATTTGTTTGGCTCGCTCCCACCCGCCTTCCCAACACATGAGCAGTAGCCGAGTCTCAGCGTATTCAGCCGTCTTGTTTGTATGGCCTGCTACTGGGCACCAATACAGACCCCAGGTGCCCGACGCTGAGGCGAGGTGCGCCACGCGCACCAGGCGCGCCCGGCGCCCCTGGGGCCCAAGCGTGTCGGGCACGCTTGCTCCAGCCGCCCCAGGTGCGCCACGTGCGGGGCACGCGCAGAGTGTGCCCAGCGCGCTCGCGCATATCGGAAAGCATGTCGACCCTCACCATCCTTGTCGAAAACCAATGCACAATCGCGGCGGAGTGGTCATCATGATGTCTGGTGGATCTGCGCACAGCAGGCAATATTCCAGCACCCCTGCTGCCCCTTGAGAAAACCAATTCCAAGTGATCGTGGAGTGCCCGCGCATGATTCAGATTTGGCTGCGAGGAGAAGTTTGCATGTGCTTGTTGACAGGGATGGTGGCCCTGCGCACAGCAGGCCATGTGCTGGCACTCCCGCCGCCCCTGCCAAAAACAATACGAAGTGCTCGCGGGCACAAGATGCTGCCACACACTGCACATCGCAGTGGTTTTGTGACAGGAGTGGCGCTTTTCGGGTGGGGGAGGAGGTGTATATCAGCAAGGAGCAGTGACCAACCCCTCCCCCGAGCAGGGGGAGGAGGGGCTTTGGAAGAGGAAAGGCAACAACTCGTTACAGTCAACCCGCATACGTAGTGAGGATGGGCAACCTTCCCAAGGGGACCCTTGCATCCTTGCCTCTTCGGTCCATCCTTGGCCACTTAGGCTGGCCGCGGCCAGCTCGGAAAGCTTCGACATGGCCTTCCAAGGCCCTTGCATCCCGATCGCGCATCCTTCCGAGACGGGCCCACTGCACAATTGCCACTTCCGCCCTGGTGGGATTTGCCCCCGCTCGCGACTCCCAGGGGCGCCCTCGTGCCCTGGCCCCGGGGACCCTCCACGGAGGAGGAGGAGGAGGAGGAGGAGGAGGAGGAGGAGGAGGAGAAAGAGGAGGAGGAGGAGGAGGAGGAAGAGGAGGAGGAGGAGGAGGAACTGGGTGTGCAGAGCTATGGTCCCAGAAGCGTGGGGCCCAATGTGCCCCACGCCGACGTCGCCGACGCGTCGCCCACGTCGGCGATGCTTCGCCAGAGTTTCTTCGGTGCATCGGCGATGCAGCGGCGCAATCCTCCGACCCCATCTATTCGGACCCAATCTAAGATGCCTCTAGTGCACCCAAATCGGTGTGGGAGGGCGGGGTACCCCGACCTCGCCTCCCCAGGGCATAGACAGGGCTTTGCGCCGCGCATCGTCCAAGAGCTCCGGCGTCGTGACGTCTTTTCCGCAGCGCGAAGATCCCCAGAGGTCTGGCATAGCTCCCCAGGGCTATTTTCTCATCTCCAGTCGTTGTTTGTCGAAACACATCCCAAAGCAGGGCATGGGTCTTCGTTTTAGATCAGCAGCGTCCCGCATTCTTGCTCATTCCTCTTCCCCATCATGCCTCTGCCCTCCGCATGCCCATTTCGGTACACCACTCACGTTTCGTGGCCCCATCTGGAGCGTCACCGAAGGCCCCAGCGGCAACCGCATGGCGGCCCCGCACCCAGTTCGGCACACCGATCACACGTCTCGTGGCCCCACAGGGACCTGCCTCTCCTTCGTCCCACCTCCCTTGCGGCACTCGCATCCACATATGGTAGGGTCCTACACCCGGACAATTAGCGACGAGAGGAAGTGGTCCACCGCCAGAATATGTCCACATCCACCGCTGCTCGAGTCCCTGGGACACGACCCCGCGGCAGAGGATATGGACACATTCTGACGGTGCAAGTGGGTGGCCCGGGTGGGGCTCTACCCCGCCCGTCTTCCGCGCGCCGCCAAGCGCCGTGACCACGCAGCTCAACAGCTACGAGTGCTGCTGGCCGAGGTTCTCAGGGCTGGACGCGTGGGAGCCCCCGGCGGTCATCCCCAGCGAGGCTCTCTCTGCGCCATCTCGCCGACGTTCACCCGGAGGGTTCGGTGAGATCGACTCTGGGCAGATGAGGCGAATCGATGAAGAAGAAGATGATGACGATGACGATGAGGATGACGTTGATGACAATGGTGATGATGACGATGACGTTGACGATGACGATGAAGGTGAGGGGAATCGAAGAAGAAGACGAAGAAATTGCAGAAACATGTATTTGTTTCTTTTCTGAGCTCAGCGCAGATTCCTTGGATCGCCGCTGGGACCCCCTGGCGGCGACTTCAGCGATGCCCCTGGCGCGCTGCGCTCGTCAGGCAGGGGGGTCGGCGCCGAGCGAAGAATTCCACGCGGACCTCCGAAAGTATCTGCTTATGCAGTTGTTGTTTCTCTAGGGAGCTTGAGGTCCCTGGCATCCTCCCATTGTGAACATTTTTGGACGCGGAGATCCCCATACGTCGTGCACCTCAGCGCTACTTTCCGTCGGAGTCTAGGGGACAGAATCGTAGCCTGTGGCAACTGAGCGCTCCCTGGCTGTTCCTCCATGAGGTGCCCGAATGCTACGCCTGCTTTATTGCGGGGATCATGTGGCTTTCGAAAGAGAGGAGCCTGTGCCACGTAACGAGCAAACCGCGTAAGACATCCCCACAGTCTGGCTGCGGCGAGACGTCTCACAATTTGGGCGCGATCAGGCGAGTGTAAGACTCCTTGGTGCCTCCCCCCCCTCGATCGGGTGCTCAAACGCAACGCCTGCTCTGTCGCGGTGATCGTGGTGCAGATGAGTCTGGGGGGCAGGAATTAGCAGACCGCTGCTGACATCACCACAGTCTGGCCGAGATCCGGCGAGTGTAACAGCCCCTGGCAGCTCCCTCTCAGCGTACCCCAGTGCCACGCCTGCCATGCCGTGGTGACCGTAGGGCCTTCGAAAGCGCGCCCCTCAGCGTGCCCCAACGCCACGCCTGCAATGCCGTGGTGACCGTGACCGTATGGCCTGAGAAAGAGGAGACTCGGAGACGAATCAGGCAACCCTTAAGTCGGGCATGTCCCTCTACAGGAGGAATTATTTGAAATTAGCCTGGCGAATGACCCAACAATATGCAGTTGTGAGTGCCGCACTTGTGAGTACCGTCTTCGGTGGACCTCCCTGTGTCCCTGTGGGGCCACGAACTTTTTGAGGGGTGCGCCGACATGAGGGTGGCACTGCATGCGAACGCTGTCACTGGGGCCTTCGGTGGAGCTCCCTATGGGGCCACGAACCCTGTGAGGGGTTCGCCGAAATCAGGGTGGAACTGCATGCGAACGCTGCCACTCGGGCCTTCGGTGGAGCTCCCTATGGGGCCACGAACCCTGTGAGGGGTGTGCCGAACTGAGGGTGGAACTGCATGCGAACGCTGCACTGGGGCCTTCGGTGGAGCTCCCTATGGGGCCACGAACCTTGTGAGGGGTGCGCCGACATGAGGGCGGAACTGCATGCGAACGCTGCCACTCGGGCCTTCGGTAGAGCTCCCTATGGGGCCACAAACCCTGTGAGCGGTGCGCCGACATGAGGGTGGAACTGCATGCGAACGCTGCCACTGAGTAGCGCTTCGTAGTATGCTCTCCCGCTCCCTAATAGGGTCGGCCATGGGACCGAACCCTGTGAGCGTGCGCTCGAATGAGGGTGGAAGCTGCATCTCGAACGCTGGGCCGTTAGCTCGGGCCTTCGATCTTGCTCGCCTGATGGGGCCATCTAACACCTGTGAGGGTGTGTCCTATGATGTGAAGTGCATGCGAACTCTGCCACTCAAGGGTCCTGTCGGGCTGGAGCTCCCTATGGGCCACGACCCTGCTGAGGGTGCGCCGAAATGAAGTGGGAAGTGCCATTGTAAGCGCTGCCACTCGGGCTCTCCGGTGGGCTCGCGCTATGGGCCCAGGGGAGCTGAACCCTGTGAGGAGTGTGGGCCGAACTGAAGGTGGATAGTGTGCTAATGGTCGTAGACGCTGCCACTGAGTGGGGGGGACGCCTTTGGTGTGGAGCCTCCTATGAGGCTCGGCAAGGCAGAAACCTGGTGAGGGGTGTGGCCAGCGTTCCACCACCCTGTGGACTGCATGCGATACGTGGTGTGTTTCTGCATGAGGGCCCTCTATAGGGGCCACTGAAACGCCTTGTGGTGGGGTGTGGCCGAAATGGCTGCGGAATGATGCAGAGGCAAGGAGGGGAAGCAGTAGGAGGAGGAGGACAGGAGGAGGATTGAGGGGGGGGGGCGGAGGGACGAGGATGGATGAGGATCGAGTACAGGAAAGGAGGTCAGGAGGAAGGCGCTGGTTATGACGGCTTATGGGATGGAGGTGAGGAGGAGGACGAGGAGGCGAGAGGGACGCGGGGCGCTGTCTCTCCAAAACGAGGACCCAACACCACAGGACGGTTGGGAAATGTTGAAAAAGTATGGAGGCGATGGTTGGACTATTCTTGACTATTTTCGAGTATGTTGTCGAGTATTTTTTAGGTTTCGCCCAACATCCGCCTGTAGGAGAGCACACCTGACCTGATGTATACCCCGCGAGACACCCCTTATAATCCGGGCGCGGGCGGGCCAGCGTCACACCCCCTGGCGGCTCTGACTTTGGGGCACCCGAGTGCCACGCCTGCTATGCCGCGGTGACCATCGAGCTTTTCAAAAGAGGGGGGGGAGAAGGGCGTGGGAGGGGGGGGGAGGGCAACCTTCAGGCAGAGGGGGGGGGGCGGGGGGCGCGGGAGCGGGATGGCCAGACATCAGGCAAACCGAGGTGAGACATCCCCACAGTATGGGCGCGAAGGGGCGAGTGCAACCAGCCCCTGGCGGCTCCCCAACTTGGGGTGCCCAAGTGCCACACCTGCTCCGTCGCGGTGGCCGCGGGGGCTTCAAAAGGAGAGGAGTCCTGGTGGGCAAAGGCACGCACACCGCGCGAGACATCACCACGACCTGGGCGCGAACGGGCGAGTGTAACACCCCCTGGCGGCTCGCCCAGATGCCACGCCTGTTACGTCGCGCTGATCATACCGTGAGTGTGAGTGATCATGCTGTGAGTGGTCTGTGTTGTGTGCGTGCATTTGAGTCCGAGTATGATTCGGCTGGGCATGAGAGGATCTGAGGGGGGAGTAGTCCCTTTTATGAGTGCGTCTTAAGATGAACATATCTGGGTATCAGTGGATCTGAGCGTGAGTGGGTCTGGGGAGAGTGAGCCTGAGAATGAGTGAATTGAGTGTGAGCTGAGTTTTTGGATTGTGGGTGAGTCTGAGTCTGAGTGAGTCTGAGTGTGAGTGATCTGAGTATGAGTGATCTCAGTGTGATGATAGGGAGGAGGAGGTGGAAGCGAGTGAGTGAGTGATAGGGCGACGGAGTCACTAATAGCAATAACCCCATACATAGTTCATTGGGGGAAAATCACGACGGAAGGTTTTTGTCCATGTTCGGCCTCGGGGGGCCTTCAGCAGGAGAGCCTGGTATTGTCAAAATTATTCAGGAGGATGAAAAGCCAGCCTGGGGGAAGTGGTCGAGATCACTGGGGTCTACGTTCTGAAAAATCACGACGTCGAATGTCTGACGAGGTGAGGGAGTCTCGGTTGGAGGAGGAGGAGGAGGAGGAGGAGGAGGAGGAGGAGGAGGAGGGGCTCTTGGTTGTGTTCGGAGCTTCCGTGGAAGCTTCAGGGAATTGTCCTCGGAGGTGCTCTGGAGGCTTCCCTTGGGCGAGGCTCGGTTGGGCACCCGAAGAGCAGGGCTTTGCTGGCCGGGATTCTGC